AAGAAGAAGAAGAAGAAGAAGAAGAAGAAGAAGAAGAAGAAGAAGAAAAAGAAGTGCTTAGTGTAAACTTTTGTGGTCCACTCGCCAACTATGTTTATGACAGCTGCATTGATCTACAAAATTGTTTTATGCTTATAGATAAAAAGCTTTGTTTTAGAGAACTTATGATGTATACCTTCTGTTTATTAATGTCTTGGTAAACCACATGTCTTTTTGATAAAGTAATCCTGAATCAGAAAGACCTCTTTGCTGGATATCGTACTTCAGCTTACTTGTGTGCTTATTAATTGCCTTTGCTAATACATGCTCCCTCTATTGTAATTTAGCTCCATCACAACAACCTCCACCCAGAGGACAAGTTCAAAGTTCTTCTGCTATCAATCTGTCCTGGAGTCCACCTGATTCTCCAAATGCCCACTGGCTTACTTACAGTTTATTCAGGGACAGTTCTGAAATCTATACAACTGAAGATCAATACCCATACAGTAAGTTTAAAGGTTTGGCAGTAGAAAGATATAATATTCTGAGAATTGATATATTAGTTAAGTTCTTTGACACTGAGGATAAATGTTGTTGTGGTTTCCTGTGTCTAGCAGAGAGTGTTTCAAGCAGAGACAGAATTACGAGTCTCACGAGCAGTCTCCTCGTAATCAAAACAATGCAATAAATGAGATACTTCTTATTTGATAGTCCCTAATGCTTATCAAATTCTCAAAGATGAAAAAAAAAAATCACCCTATTCAGCCAGCATTGATGAGGATGTGGAACAGTTAGAACTTACATAAACTACCGGACTATCTCTGTAAGTTCATTGGCACAACTTTTCATGCAGGATAGACTGTTAAAATGTATGAAAATCTATGTCCTTTTGTATACCATTTGACTCAGCAAATTTCCTTTAGGAAATTTATCTTAAATGAACAGTCATAAATGGGTACAAAATATGTTCCAGCCTACACTATTTGTAATAGCAAAATATTGCATAACATTCAGATATTCAAAGATCTTTCAATAAATTTTGATAGATGGCATAATAGGATCCTGATACATTGGTATGTGAATTGTAGGATGTGATTACCTATAAAATTATATTTTAGTTTATATGTTGATGAATGGAAATGCCCATGACACATTGTATAACATAATAAAAATTATAAATAATCTGAATTAAATTAAAAAATATGTAGAAATATTGGAAGACTTAAAACAAACTGAACTATAGTTTTCTCTGAGCATAAAGGTTACAGAAAATTTATCAAATATTTCTATTACATGGGTTCAGCTTTTAAAGTTCTTAGGTTAAAAATGGACTTTTAAAAAAGTGGAATCAGAGTACTAACCTTCATGCAAATAATGTAATTTTACGCACACACTGCCATTTCCACAGAGGTAGAATATAATATGAACTTAAATTGAAAGAAAGGATGTGAAAAAACTGCATCTATAACTTTTAAAAAGATTTTAAAGGAGCTTATAGAAATCAAACTATGGGAACCCATTGTCTTTAAAAAAAATACTTACTCAGATGTTTTAGATAGTTTTCCTAAAGTCAGAATGAAGAAATAGAAATGTTTACATCCTTCCAGCTCTGTCTTATCTGATATTTGCCTCTAGCCATGTTTAGCTACAAGCTAGTTTAAGAAATTAGTTTAAAAACATTGGAATAGTGATTCTAATTCAAGTTTCCATTTTGTTCTCTTTGTTTAATACCCAATTTTCCAAATTCCAGTTTAACTTAATTAGTTAGAAGAGTGTGTAAAGTTCTGTAGAGGCACTGAAGTTCCATAATCTTCCTCAAAATGGTTAGGGAGATGACTTGTTTTAACGTAGTGATTGGATTTAAAACTTTTGCAGAGCATACATTTCTATTTTGTATGTAGTAGAGTAGGTTACATTTTGTACCTAATTCTGACTGACATGCACCTACATTATTGTGTCCACTTTCTGTTAACTCTAAATGTTTCTCCAGTATTCCAGCTCTTCTTTGAAGTTAATAGCAACTCTGAACTTCATGATGCAGATTGCAAAGGGAAATGAACATCTGTCTACATCTGCCATGTTGGCAAAGCATCCTAAAAACCTGCTACTAGAATGTTTATTTTCTTCCAAATATCAGCATGATCCAGGTGTCCTGAAACTTAAACTTTTGTGATAAGGGGAGAGAGAGTTATAAAAATATTGAAAGTGATTTTGAAGATGACTGTACCATTGGTTGGATTATTTCTAAAATTATGAATTAGGGTCACCCCATTTTCCATTCAGCTTAATTCAATAATAAAATTAAACTTCAATTATACCCTTCAATTCCAGTGACATGTTTTCCATAGTAATATATTGTGATCTATTTTATAGATCATTACATGAGAATACAACGCTCTGGCTCTTATTCATGATTGCACTAATACAGAATCCAAATAACAGTTTCTTACATAAATAATGTGTACTCATTCACTAATCAGACATTTATATAATCCTATTAAATGAGGTATTATTTCCTAAAACCTTATTTTTCATTAAAAAATGCCACTTCTGGCATTTCTTGACAATCACTATAATTAATGATGTGAAAATTATCTGCATGATGGCATTTGAACAGTAAGAACAATTGGTTAACACTGTCAGAACTTTGTATCATTCTAATAATACCCTCATGTTTATTACTCTATTTCCAGTGTGTGGATAGCATGTGTAATATGAAAAGGAAACAGTACTTATATTCAGTCGGATGAACACAAATCTTTGGGTTAAATAAAGGCATTTGGAATTATAGGTGGAGAATCATTGAACTTTTCAAAGAAAATTAATAGTGTTGTCTTCTGAGAAAGTTTGATCCTTTGGTTGAGACCATTATAGAATTCCTTGTTAGAATAATAACTTTTCCTAGCTTGCCTGATGTACCATCAGGACAATGGTTTCCAACCTAAGATCATGACACACTGGTGTATTATCATCTTTAAAGGCTGCAAAGTATTTGTTACTAGTCATAGCACACAGGTAATGGTGGAATAATTTTAAAGTTTCTGAATAATAAACTTTTTAAAAATAAGCAAAATTTACATCCTCATAAGCTTGTACATAACCAGCTTTCAAAAATAGGAGAGAAAGGTATAGAGGTCAAATAAGCGCACTGGGAATTATACAGAATCAGCGCCTAATATTATCTCCCCTGTAGCTCCAATCTGGTTTGCCCACAGGTGTTTTCCATATGATGGGTGTGAAGAGAACAGCCATCATAGGAAATAGCACTCATTTGATAGTGGTATAGTTTTAGGTAGTGGCCAATAAATCATATTATGTTTTCCTGCTTGAGTTTGGAACTAAAAGAGAGCTAGACCTAAGAGTCAGTAAGATGGACATGAAAAATAAAAGTCATCTTCATTACTGATAAAAGTCCATTGGAGATTAGACCCTCTCTCCTGCATGAAGACAGATTAGAAGAGAAAAAAAAAATCAATGGGCTGATCTGAGCATGCTCTGTTTCCCCCTTTCTCCCCAAATTCATGGGAAGCCATGAGTAGAGAAATAGTCCTTACATGTTTACTCTAAAAAAATCCTATCACAACGAACCTAGAGGATGAATACTTCTACACCTGGCCATTGCTTGCATAGCCTAAAGACGTTAACATAGTTTAGGGTTTTAGATGACGATACATCCTAGTGAACCCTGGGACTTCATTTCTACCTTTAATATTATTATCATTTGTTACTCTATTCTACATCAAGGGATCAATGTAACCAGTGGTAAGATGGTTCAGTTTCTCTGAGAGAAACAAACAGTAAATAAAGGGAAGGGATAAGAAACACAATAGAAAAGTTGAGGACAAGCAACTGTTTCTATAAAGCTCTTATTATTTTTTCCTAGAAAAATCAATCAGACATATATGGAAAAGTCATTCCTTCATTTATTCAGTAAAATTTTTTCTTTTTTTCTATTATGTCATGTTAATCACCATACATTACATCATTAGTTTTTGATGTAGAGTTCCATGATTCATTGTTTGGGTATAACACCCAGTGGTCTGCGTTCAGTACGTGCCCTCTTTAATACCCATCACCAGGCTAACCCATCCCCCCACCCCCCTCCCCTCTGGAACATTTATTCAGTAAAGTTTTATTCAGTGTTTACTCCAGATCAGGAACCGTATGAGTCACTAGAAGCACAAAGATGGAAGGAGCAGTTCTTGTTATTGAGAGGGGAGATAAAAAATAGACAAAATTATAATATATATTAAATGTTGAGTTAGAGTAGACTTGGAGTATTAGGAAAGTACTGGGAGGAGGAGAGGAAGCCATGCCTGTGGTGGCAGAGAGGGAGACAGAATCATTGAAAGTTTCACAATAAGGAGGTGATGTGTGAGCTGGATTAGCCAGGTACTGCAGTGAAGGAAGAACGATTTTCCTGGAAGAAACTGTACGTGAACAGGCATGAAGGGAAGGTGTATGAGAAAATAAGGTACATTCAGCAAACCTGAGCAGGTCCAGGTAGCTTTCATGGGTGGTATACTAGGGAAATACTACAAACCATAGTGGGTACCAGCTGAGATCATGAATTAGAGCCGAGGCAAGAATTCTGAATGTTGTCCTGAATGTGCAGAAGTTTGTGGTAGGGGGCGCCTGGGTGACTCAGTCGGTTAAGCATCTGCCTTTGGCTCAGGTCATGATCCCGGGGTCCTGGGATAGAGCCCTGCATGGGGCTCCCTATTCAGTGGGGAGCCTGCTTTTCCCTCTCCCTCTGCTTACTGTTCCCCCTGCTTGTGCTCTCTCTCCCTGTCAAATAAATAAATAAAATCTTAAAAAAAAGAAGTTTGTGTAGGAGAACAGTTTTTCCAAGCTCATAGTTAAAGATAGAGATAATTCTTATCCTAACTTAGGAGTATGACCTGCTCTAGATAAGTTCTTTTAACCCAAGTCATTTTGTTGTTGTTGTTATGATAAAATTAAGGGGAATTCTATTTACACCCTTTCAATTACTTTTATTTAGTTCACACTATATGTTGTTTATACAGTGTTTTTAACCAAATATATGTTGCCATCTCAATTCTATAATTACTCTAGTTACTTGCTAAATAGACTCCTCTTGTAGATTTTGATCGATAGGGATTATATTCCATTTCTCAAATGCTATAAGCATCAAGTACATACTGAACTTCTCTTAATTATCATCAGGTTATGTATCTTCCAACTTCCAGTTTAAGCGTGTGCCATTCTCTTGGAATATTTAAGCACTGATATTTATTTTTGCCTTGTAGGTTTGGCTTTTGACACGTTAAATAGAATATTTTCCACCGGTTTGCAAACCTTCAATGATTTTTTTCAAATGTTTTAAATATTTTAAACTGTCTCATGTGGAATGCAGAAAACTTTAACTTAATAAGTATTTATTGAATTTACTGTTATATGCCAGAAATGTATGTAATAGTAACCACACCCTAGCTATTATAGAGAGGCAATTTCCCTTATTGTTTAATTATGATCACGATACTCAGTTATGAGCAACAAGTATGATGTTCAGGTAATACATTGAAAACCAATGTAGTAGTCCTTTGACTAATTGATAGAATGAAACTACTTAGCAACTACTATCAATATATCAAAAGCAAATTTTTCCAGTGGAGGATATCACTTTTTCTGAAGAAGCATAGTAAATGTCATTCATCAAATCTTTCTAGTGGAGGATATCACTTTTTTTAAAGAGGCATAGTAAATTTTATGTATCAGCTTTACTGACTGATTCAACAAATTTTTATTGAGCTTCTACTCTGTGTTACCAATACGGTGGCAAGTAAGGAGAACATGGTTGGTCCTGGCTTCCCAGGGTGATAAGTCTAGTGTCAAGGAAAGACAATTCATCAAACTATTAAAATACAATGTGAGAATGGTAGTGTTAAGGGATATATATATGTGTGTGTGTGTGTGTGTGTGTGTGTGTGTGTGTGTGTGTGTGTCTGTGTATTATATATACTAACGTGTGTATGTATCTATATTTCTATTTCTATATTATCTATATCTATACACATGATGCTAATGGGATATTATGGCTAGTTTTCTTTCTTCTACATCCAGGAAAACCTGAAATCTCATAATATTCTCCCACTCCTACCTCACTTAAGCATGCTCAGTACATTTTTAAAAAACTGAATACCAACTCTCCTCTGCCCTGAAACCATTTCAGTTTTGGATTGCCAGAAAGGGAAGGGATTAGGAGAATATGAATCTGGATTTTCCCAGATTACTTACGTTCTCTGGTTTGATTTTATAATAGAAAATTTCACTAATTTGGGAAATAAGAATTAGATATCAATGGGAATACTTTTTTGTTATTTGATACTAAGCATACTTGGAAATAAATTAATCAGTGCAGGGGTGCCTGGGTGGCTCAGTCAGTTGAGCGTCTGCCTTCGGCTCAGGTCATGATCCTAGGGTCCTGGGATCCAGCCCCACATGGGGCTCCCTGCTCAGCGGGAAGCCTGCTTCTCCCTCTCCCTCTGCCCTTCGCCCTGCTCTTGCCTGCCCCCTCTCTCTCTAATAAATAAGTAAAATCTTTTAAAAAAGAAATTAATTAGTGCATATGGTTATTACCATCAGCATCTCCAAAGAGGAATCTCATGCTGTGTTTGTGCAATAATTTGTCTAAGTGATTTTGTTTTTGGTATAGATCTTTTTCATATAAAAATGTTATATCCCATTAACAAAGCTTAAAATAATTTTTTTAAGCCTCACAATTGCAGCATTCTAGTATGATGACTAACTTCACTTTGGAAAATTTCTGGAGTAGTATATACTCCCAGTTTATTTTTCATAATAATACTCAAATACACATGTGCTACATGGCCTTCATCACTATGTTTTTAAATAATTATGTGATATTGGAATTCTATTAATGTATCATAGTAATATTAAAATATTGTAACCCATTAAATTCCATTTTAACTTACTTCAACCTTTCCTATTATATATCACACATCCATACTTTTATATGCTTCCTGACGAAATGTTCCCCCAAAATTGGATTAAGGACCAAGGTCTCATAAAATATATTTTAACATATGCTAGTATATGGTATAGGTTTATTGCCTCTCAGTTTCAGCCCTACTCTTCACTACCTGCTTTGTGACAGTGAGGCTGGAACCTGTAAATAGTTCTCCTTGGCCAGGTGGGCCATTGTAAGGGTCACAGTCCTGCAATACACTTCCTGTCCCCTTAGAGAACAGGAAGCTCCAGGCACTCGCCTAACCATGTCCACTCCTTAGCTTTTTAGCCCTTTAAAAAACCCAGACTTCTCCTGTGTCAGTTCTCCACTGATGATAATAAATGTCTCCAAAATTTTGTAGTTTAAAACAACAAACATTTATAATTTCACAGTTTCTATGGGTCAGAAACTCAGGAGAGGTTCCAGTCAGGATATTGGCCAGGTGACAAATGTTCCTTGTGGCAGCAGTTGGACAACCCTTGGTCCAGGGCAATATTGTTTAATAAGCAAACAGGTTACATAGAAGAGAATGCTATTTCTGTTTCAGAGAACTGCCAGGAATTTCTCTTATATCTTCTGTAAAAAAGGCAACTATATTATAGAAAGAACAAGAGTTTAAACAACCTTCTAGGGGTGCCCGGGTGGCTCAGTCGTTAAGCGTCTGCCTTTGGCTCAGGTCATGATCCCAGGGTCCTGGGATTGAGCCCCGCATCAGGCTCCCTGCTCGGTGGAAAGCCTGCTTCTCCCTCTCCCGCTCCCCCTCCTTACGTTCCCTCTCTCACTGTCTCTCTCTCTCTGTCAAATAAATAAATAAAATCTTAAAAAAAAAAAACCCTTCTAAATAGTTTTCGTGACAAGAGGCACTTTTCTTATGTTATACTGCACAGTAAAAGCAATCAGAATTCGTTTTCAGTTTTAAATATATGAACCATTCTCTTACTCAAAAGGGTAGATTGTATAGTTTATGTGATTAAGTTATATAAATAGGAAAACAATTAGAAATGATTCCTTACCAATTTGTGAAATGTAACACTTTTCTTCTTTTAATTTCAGATATTCAGTACTTCTTAGATACTGATCTGTTACCATATACTTCCTATTCCTATTACATCGAGACGGCCAGTGTGCATGGTTCAACAAGGAGTGAGTCTGTCACTTACAAGACGAAACCAGGGGTCCCAGAAGGAAACTTGAACTTACATTATATCCTTCCTATTAGCTCAGACTCTGTGACACTTGCCTGGACTGCACCTTCAAATCGTTCTGGTCCTATAGAAAAATATATTTTATCCTGTGCTCCTTCAAGTAGCAATCAGCCATGTGTTTCTTATGAAGGTTATGAAACCTCCACTACCATCAGGAATCTGGTTCCATTCACCAAGTACCATTTTTCTGTACAGGCGTGTACTAGTGGGGGTTGTTTACACAGCTCACCCCTTACAGTGATCACAGCCCAGGCACCTCCCCAAAGGCTGGGTCCACCTGAGGTGCGGAATATCGGTTCCACAGAACTTCATGTAGAATGGTCTCCTCCAATGGAACCAAATGGTAAGAATTCAGGGCTTAGATTTCCCTTTCTTGAGCAAAACATGAATGAGAATCTAGGCATTTGGAATTGGGCAATAAGAATCTGGCAACTGTATTCATTTTTGTAACTGTAGGATATAATAATTGAGAATTTCTAAAGATATCAGATGCTATTCGTACTGGTTAGTAGAACAAGTATATTTCTTTAATCTAATAACAAATTCCATTCATTTAAATTGCCCCTTAAAAGGCTAATATTATCTTTGCTCTTAATGACATCTGTCACAACAAAAATGATGTTTCTAATTTGAAACTCACTTATGAAATGCATTATATTTGACTGTGTCACAAGTTAGGGCACCCATAAGCAGTAAATTTTCTCTTTTAAGCAAGAAAAGGATATAAAATAATACAAAAAATATGTATATAGGCTAGCAGACTCCATTAAGTTAATTTTTTGTCTTCATACAATTGAACCCTTGGTTATATAGGCCAGACACAAATTCATAGATTTTTAGTAATTAATATCATGTACGTATGATGGTAAAACCTTTTCTCTTAGACTTTTAAAGTTATTTAAGAAGACTAGGTAGAAATCAAGTTTGATATTCTAGTATTTATATAAACAGGGCTTGTGTTAAACAGATAATAAAATACCCATATTTGAAAGTATATAAATTGGAGGTGCAATGATCAAATCTGCCCCCGCAAATGCAATTCTTAGTAGAAATTATGATCATTCATTTTCAAAGGGATTGAATTTACCTATAATAAGTTAAAGCTATTTTGTGTTTATGCATTCCCTTTTGGTTTGTTTTTCCCATGAATATGCTTTTCAGCAGTATTTCATACATTCATCTGTCCATCAGTTTGTTGTGTTTTATAAATCCCATCATCTAGATTACTGAAGAAATGGACAGGTAATCTAGTCAGAAGAATAATGCAAAGCTGGTACTGTTTAACTGGCCTAACCCCGCCTCACCCCCAAAACTGTCTGTCTGTCTGTCTGATGAGTCCTCCTGGTTCACTGTTTCATTTTTCTAGGAATAATTATAAGATATGAACTCTACATGAAGAGAATGAAATCTGATGGAGAAAACACATCAGCAGAAAGTCGAGTTTTTCAGAGCAGTGGCTGGCTCAGTCCTCACCCACTTGCAGAATCAGCCAACGAAAATGCATTAAAACCTCCTCAAACAGCCACAACCATCACTGCCTTGGAGCCATACACCAAGTATGAGTTTCGAGTCTTAGCTGTGAACATGGCTGGCAGTGTGTCTTCAGCCTGGACTTCAGAAAGAACGGGAGAATCAGGTGAAGAAAAATGTTTTGAACTCTACTTTGAAGATTCCCAAATGAAAATACTGCCCCAAGTGAAAGTCAACAGAACTAAAGTACCTTTTGAAAAGCAAGAATTATAAATTTATATAGGCCAAGGAAAAATTTAACATATCTGTTGGTTATGTAAATATCTCAAGGTCACAAAGCACTTGCAGTAAGTTTTAGGGGAAAAAAAATGCTTGAGCTATTACTTCAAGAGGGAAAAATAACTTAACTATATAGTTACAGTCTTTGGGGAATGTTTGCCAAAAATAGTAATTGGTTTCCATTCCTGAAGTGGGTTGGCTGTATGTCCTATCTTGCTCCAAATTCAGCACGATTTATGTTCAATGAAAGAGATAACTGTACCAATTTCACAAATCTCATTTTGTTTTTATTTCTCTCTCCAAAGCAAATAGTGTAGGTACTAGATGATACCTAATGATAGAATCCTGAATATCACTATCTGTAATTCACAAGTGTGCTTATAAGCAGTTGGCAATATGGTAAGGAAGGAGAGTAAAATTTTTAATTTTCTTAAGATATCTTCACTACAGCAAATGAGATATTTTTAACCCCCCCCACACACTCTTTACATTAAAAACACTTCAAATATCATGAGCCTTTAACCAAAAAAAGACGCTTTTGTTCTGCTTTGAATCTATGGGTATTCAGAGAAACCCAAGTCCTGATTTAAATTGGATCTGTTAGGACCGTGGGAGGATAAGGGTAGCTTTAAGTTGATGTCCAAGGGAATCATTTCATGAATAAAATGTGCATTGTGCTTGAGCATCTCTTAATGACTACCAGCCATCTTGGACAAATAATAGTGCCATGATAGCACAAGTGATGAGCCATGGCATTCTGGAAGGGGAAAATCAAGGTCAGAAATGAAAAGTAATGGGTGAAACTGCAATGCTGGACCCTCATAATCTTATGGGTCACTGGCTACTGAACGTGTGATGAGGTCCTTTGATAATACACCTTTGGTTAGCACATTTAAAATCCATATTAAGATCTCAAGGATGGCAGGGGGAGAATGTATGCGTGTATGTACTCTGAACATTTCAATCAAGATTTATTGAAAACTTTAAAAATTTCTTTGGGGTTATTTAGAACATTTTAGATTTACCTCTTTCTGAGGAGTAATAGTCTCCAAGCTCTATCGGCGTGGCTCAGTGAAGTACATCTGTACATCAGAAATCCAATATGTCATTATGCATTGTTCTGAACTTTGTGGACTAAGATTCAGTTTTGATGACTTCTCCTTTCAAATGCTTCATAAGACCTGTGGTTTCCAACCCCAAATAATCTACTAGTTATCTTGATGAACATAAGCAAATTCTTAAATGATTTTTCTTTTGTAAATGGAAAATATCTTTGCTGGGAATATAAGGGTGGAGAATATCCTTGCAGAGAACAACAACAACTACAAAAGGGAAGTAGCTTTTCTAAACACCAGTATATCCTTTGATGTTTAGAAATCGGATTATGTAAGGAACGGGGTTATGTGAGAAACTAGAATAGGTGTATGAATTCCATCTGGAAACCTGGAGGTACAACATTCATTGTCTGCTTGTGTTACTGTCATTGACAGTACCTGTATTCATGAGCCCTCCTTCCGTCTTCCCGCTCTCACCACACTCCCTCAATGTGTCCTGGGAGAAGCCAGCAGAGAATGTAACAAGAGGAGAAGTTGTGGGCTATAAGATCAATATGGTTTCTGAACAGTCACCTCGGCAATCTCTTCCGGCTGCGTTGTCACAGGTACTAGTATTTTAGAATTGAATTGTCTTCCTTTTGACATTTTCTGATTTTGCAGAACTCTATGACCAAATTCTCCCTTATGTATTCCTTACCTGTGGTGTTTGTTTCTTAATATAAAACCATGCACATGAGGCACTGTATATTTCTATCACTTATTTTTCTAATACAAACATGTATTAAAACAAAATAGGTATGATTTTGTTTCATAAAATCTGCTTTCTACACTTAACATCTATCCTTAAATATCTTGTAAGGAGTTGACTTTCAGTAGCTGTGCACTGTCATGTTATTTGGGCATACAGTCATGCATTCAACCAACCCACAGTCAGTTGGTATTTATATTGTATTAATTCTTTTGGAAATATAAGGAACATTGATAACAATGCCTTCTATGGACATTTTGCATATTTCTGTTTCCTAAGAGAAGAGAATTCTGAGGAATGGTTTTATCACAGCTTATAGCAAAGGTTAACATGGTCAAGGTTTGGGATATACAGTGACATATTGCCTTCTAGTAATGAGAATAATAATCATAGCTAACTTAGAAAGGCTTTATTGTGTACATGGACTAAGTAATTTGATATGTATATAATAATCCTGGAAGGGGAGAGGCTCTTGTTTCCCTCCAGTTTATGGTGTGGTCAATGTACTCCATTAGCCTATTTTACTAGCATGGGGGTGGCCAATGACAGAGGTGGCTGATGTTAACTGGACAAGTCATTCTGTGTACTTGGCTGTTTAGCACCTCTTTTGAGGAAGACGCTCTTTGGTGGGCATTAGCACGATATAAAGAGATCCTCACACATAACCATCTCTCCCGTGGGCCTATCCACATTCTTCTTTCCCACACTTCCTGGTTCCTGATCTTCCAGGCTTTTTTTTTTTCCATGCCCATGACCAATACATTCAGGTCACTGCCATATAGTTCAGATGTGTTCTGCCTTTGGACTCTTCCCTTTCCACACAAAATGGATGGCCAGGTGCACTGCCTAAAGTGCTGCCCATTGAGCAGATTTCTTCTTACTGCTGGTTTTTAGGGCCATCCTTGAATGGGGTTATAGGGCATCTGTCACCCATTTTTGACTTGCAACCGCATACTAAGACAGCCCATCTGTGAACCCAACCACATTTTTCTACACTGTCAGCTCTTGAGGAACGTCCAAGAAGTCATAGGTATGAGCTGAGATTGAGCCATCAGTGTACAAATGGTAGATGACATGGGGGTCCAGACAACCTGCTTGCACAGCGTATTATTCCTGACTCTGTTTATGCCTGTTACAAGATATCCCCTTCCATTTTACAATGAATTTCTGTTGGACCAACTTGGCCTTAAGACATAGCATGTCTGACAGAACTCAGCTCATGAGGGGTAGCTCTGGCTGCATGACCATTTGATGTTGATAGTCAGATTTTCTGCTTTTACCAAGGCCCACTAGCATGCTAGGGGCTGTCTAGCAGATGGTGTTTAATTTCCATTGTGTGATATGACCTTGCTCCACATCCTGTGAGTGTACCTTGTGATTCTCTTATTGAGGGCTTGCCATAAATGTCTCACATACCACAGGATCTGATAGGCTTTATGTCCCAAGTTGCTTGGCTGCTTGCAACACAGCCTTGACCTGCAGAAGAATCCTCTCCAGCCCTAGGGTACACTCAGAGCTGGCAGTACTCCATAGTATTCAGTAACTTGGTCAGAATAGTATTCCCAGATGTGGAATATACTCTCTTCAGAATGTAAGAAGGCCTGCCAGACATTCTGTTTCTTTCCTACTAGTGGTAAGGGCAAGATGCAATAATTTGACCTTTACTTTGAAAGGGATGACCTAGCATGTCTCAGGCTACTGGACCCCTAAAAATTTTACTGATGTGGCAGACCCTTAATTTTAAAAAACTTGATCTCTCATTCTTTGGAGCATATAGTACTTACCAAGACCTCTGTATATCTGCCATGTCTTGCTTCTCTGATTTATTTAATAGGATGTTATTAATTTGGAGAACCAATACTGCCAAGGTGGTTTTCACAGTTTGCCTTGAATTGATGACCTTCTGATCTTGTCTTTCTTCAATGCATTAATAGCACCCAGCAGCAAGAGCTACTTGATTCCACAGTCCTAAAAATTACTACTTTCCCTAAAGTAGTCCATATAATTTCCAGTTCCACCAAACCAGTGAACTTCCTTCTACTGGTAAATCATCCAGTTCACCACTAATGAGTTTAAGAATTGCACCACTGGTGTATGCTAGGGGCCATCAGTACTCCACCCACTACCTGTGTTGAGGTTCTCTTTGGCAGTCAGCTGGTTGGTGATCCAACTCCAAAATATCATTTGAGAGTCTCCTTCCTAGGGCACTCCTGCTGTTACTTAGGTCAGGTTCTCTGGGAAACAGATGCTGTGGAGAGGATTGAGTACATGTTTATTGGGGAGTGCTCTCAGAAACAACACATGGAAAGTAGTAAGAGTTGCAGGGTTGAGAAGAATAAGAAGCTGAATTGTGATGCAGTAACAAAAGGGTCTAAGTTGATCCTGTGGGTGGTTCTGGGGCTGAAATGAAACTATCAGGTTGTCCTAAAGAAGTCAAGGAGCCAGACCTTTGTACCCCATTGTATTAGTTTCCTGGGACTGCAATAACAAATTAACCACAAACTAAGTGATGTAAAACAACAGAAATTTATTTTTTTAATGGAGGGCCAGAGTCTGAAATCAAAGTGTTGGCAGGGCCATTTTCCCTCTGAAGGCTGTCCAGGAGATTCCTTCCTTGCCTCTTCCAGCTTCTGGTAGCTCCTTGTGTTCCTTGGTTTGTGGCAGCATAACTCCAGTCTCTGCCTGTCTTCACATGGCCTTCGTCTCTGTGTTGGGGTCTCTTTGTATCTGTGTATCCCTCTCCTTTCTTCTATAAATATATCCCTGTACTTAAGACCCACCTTAACTCCATGATGGTTTAATTAATTATATCTGCAAAGACCCAGTTTCCAAATAAGATCACTTTCTGAGGTACTAGGCAAACAAGGATTTTTGAGAGACCCTCTTCAACCCATTACCAATAGGTTTGCCAATATTTCTGAGGCTTTTCAGTAGACAGAGCATGTTTACAACACAAAGCTAGAAGAAGAACCAATAAATAATTTATGATTCCTTGTTTTACTTTTTCATTAGCCTGGAAATAAGTGCTGACTAATTTGCCTCTGTCTCGGGTGATAAACACAGAGGTAGCCTTACACATATCTTGTAACTTAAATGAGTTAGTCTACCAATCCAGTGTATCATAAAATTTAAGGTAAATTTACAGCTGTAACTGCTTTGTTTGGTCCTTAATGTTATACCGTATTTATCATTGTTACTGTTTTTGCTATGTTTTTGCTTTGTAGACTATTCTTTCTTCATAAAACATAGCTTCAGAGCAACTATTACTTGCAATATGGTATTCTAGTCTAAGAAACAAAATAAGAAAAAAAAAAACATAGTTCCTAAAAATATAGCCTTAGAAGTCAACCTATTTGTTCATATTCCACTTCTGCCAATTGCTAGCCATCCACACATCTCTGCACTTCAGGTTTTACTCATCTGTAAAACTGGAAAACAATTTCTGCTTATCTACATGATTTTTGTGGAGTTTAAAGTGCTTGACAATATTAGGTCCTACTAGTGATCATTATTAATGGGATAGGACTACATTAAACTTTTAAAAAGATAATTTTATCATTCAGTGGAGCAGGAAAATATTTCTTTTTTATTAGTGACAAAAATTATGTATATGCATCTTTTTTGTTGAAAAGTCCTTTCTTTGTGGCTGAGTTGAAATAAGGATATAGATATGCCACTTTATTCTCTTTCTTACGCTTTCTCACCCTACAAATATCTATCTACCTAATCATATATTCAAGAAAGTGAAATCAAGAGTGGCAAAGTCAGAATCTTCATCTTCTCAATAATTAAATTTGTATCCACACTGGCCTGAGTGTGTCTTGTCATAAGCTTGGTAAAAAAATAGCCAAAATTTCTAGGGAAAGCCTACTGTAAATAATTGTTACAGAAACATTGACTAAGAATGCGGCAAGGAAATATATAGAAGTGGTGATATTATCAGTGTAGGATTTCAAGCTTCTACAGAATTCTCTCCACCTCCTTAAAGATTTATCTCAAAGAAATTTTTCGATTAAATTGGTCCTTTAAATCTTATAAAATGACTAAATATATGATAAAGACAAAGTTTATCTGTGTGATGATTTTATGTGCCCCAAGTTTTAAGGTAAATGTTTTTTTAAAATCATGTAATTTATAACAACTATCTGTAGAGAAGTAAAAGTCCATCAAAATTAGTACTAATCTACATTTTCTATTTCTTGTTATATTTCATTTTATATTCTTGCTCCACAGAATAGTTTGCTCAAAAAAAAAATGATGCAACATCCTAAATGAAATAGGAAATACTTCATTTTTAATTTTTTTTTAAATTTGAGTATAGTTGATACAATATTAAATTAGTTTCAGGTGTACAACATAGTGATTCAACTTCTGTATATGTTATGCTATGTTCACCATAAATGTAGCTCCCACCTGTCGCCACACAATGCTGTTACAATAACATTAATCATATTCCCTATGCTGTGCCTTTTTATTCCCATGACTTATTGATTCCATAACTGGGAAGCCTGTGTCTCCCACTCTCCTTCACCTATTTTGTCCATCCTCCCCACACCTTCCCTCTGGCAACCGCTGGTTTGTTCTCAATATTTGCAGGTCTGGTTTTGCTTTTTGTTTGTTTGTTTATTCATTTGTTTTGTTTTTTAGATTCCACATATGAGTGAAATCATACAGTATTTGTCTTTCTCAGTTTGGCTTATTTTACTTAGCATAAGATCCTCCTCTAGGTTCATCCATGTTGTCATAAATGGCATGATCTCAACCCTTTTTATGACTGCATAATATTCCGCTGTATATTTTTACCACATTTTCCTTAAAATAAGAAACACTTTATTATATTTTATCTGGAGAACAATTCCATTTTCTAAAAGTCTACATTAATCCCACCAGGATTGTTCTAAATGGCATAAATTGTATAGCAATATTCAGTAAATTCTACTCATTTCAATGTTTTACTTTTCTTAGAAAATCTTAAATCACATTGCACAGAACAGAAAATTGTATATCCTCAATCCCTCAATAACAACTCTAGAATTAGAAACATAAAGGATTTATAATCTGGTGTTTGATGTTTTTCTGATTTCTAAATGTAATTGTGAGGAAATAGTACCAAAGTTTTTAAATTATTCCTAGATTTTTAGAATCTTTGAAGTTACCTTTATTTCTGAAAATTATTTTATATATGATATTGTTTATATTCCATTCACACTGCTTTCTAGAACTACTCATTTAGGTCATGAAATTTTAAAGTCAATACCCAGGCAAATATTCTGAATGAGTTTTATCTTACTTCTACAGTGAAAATATCTAGACAATTACTTCAAATGTTACTAACCTTTACAGTTACCTGCATTTATATTTATGAGAGATTATTTGATATGAATATATCAACATCCCTTAGAAAAAAAGTTTTATACTAATGCTTGGTGTCATACTCTTTGTTTTAATGACTTTTTTTCTGAATATAATTTCCAGTGCTTTTTGTATCTATAAACTAAGTAAACTTATATGGTTGCTTTTGGTCATTTCTAGTTGTAATGATGGTACCAATGCTCAGTGATTGTCGTTTAATTATTTGTTTATGGACTATGGAGTTCCTCTCAGTCTCCTTTGCTCAAATCTGCTGTTTTCATTTGAAATTGTGTGATAAAGACAATATTTCAAAAAATGTAACTGTTTGATCTAATCTGCATATGCTTATTTGTATAAGAAAGATAATTGAGAATTGACCTCATGTGGATGCTCAGTAATGTGTTTACTTGTTTTCCTTTTTCTTTTGTGGCTTTTTTTTTTTCTTTCAAGAAAATGATGTTAATTTGATTTAACATAGTGACATTTTTCTGTACTAGCTCCATCAAATAACATGTGGGCATTACTATGCAGGGTTAGTTTTGAACAAGCCCCATGGTTTTATTTGGACTTTTTCATGATAACAATGACAATGTCACCATCCTTTATCTCTGCCATTGGTGACAATAAACATACCACCATGCTGCTTTATGAGGCAATAACTTGGTTTCCTCATTTATCCACTCAGGAACTGGATTATTACCTCATAAAACAGTGTGATTGTACAATTATCAATTAAATCCTAGCTTGTTGAGACTCTTCAAAAAAAATCCCTTTCCTAATAGTGGTTGGCAATAATTCCTCTGTCTGAATTCATAGAACATGACTGGATTCATGGATTCTTGACTGCCAAGATTATATTTCTCACACTGTTTATCTATTACCTGATTTTTTTTTTTTTGCCTTGAAGGTGTTGTACACTGCTAAATCCCAAGAACTGTCTTATATTGTAAAAGAACTAAAACCTTATAGGATATACAACTTTACTATTTCTCTCTGCAACTCAATTGGTTGTGTAACCAGTGCGTCAGGAACAGGACAGACATTAGCAGCAGGTAAGCAAGTTTTAATGGACACGAAAAATATATTGTGTCTTTATAAACAAACACCTATAAAGCTCAATACCTTCTCTAGTTTGGACGTAATACTTGTCTTTTCTGGTTTCTCCTGCTCCCCAGTCACTAACTCTGATTGCTACCTCTATTGACATTTTTAAACAAACAAAAAATAAGTAAATGAGCTGAGGTTTAAGAGGTCCATGGGAGCCCTGAGTTGCACCTGTGCCATAATAAGAAATATAATTAGATGCAGAGCAACTCCAGGGCTCAGCAACCACCCTAGGTCCTAGCGATGTTCTGACAGTTAGAAGTGCTCAGGTGGCTTCTTATGAGGCTCAGGATGCTTCTTCCTGACCCTTTTTGTGGGCTTTGGATCTACTCATGCCTGCCCTGTGGGGTTAAAGGTAGACATCCAGGAATTACTGGGTTGCCCTGGTGTCATATTTTGCCTTTATTGGATAGGCAGTAGTGTAATTATTAATTATTTTGTTATTAATAAGAAGCTCCTAAGTCTGTGAAATTCAAATAAAAGACTGGTGATCAAGTAAGATCTTAGTAGGAAATGGTTTGTATAAATTTTTGGCTTGCTTTACTTAGAGCAAACTAGATTCATACGACCTTGATTACATGTATCACTAACACCTACATAACTCAATTACTCAGCAGTTAGTATATTTTCACATCAGTTTTTCTGTCTGCAATCAAGCAAGGCTTGGTCCTCCTTAAGAAAATGTCCAGATGTGAGAAGGTTAAGAGACTCCTAGATGAATGACAGATATTATGCAAACATATTTAGCTATAAAAATATTCCCTATGCCTTTTCCCTAACTGTATTCAGGTCCAATTCTATTGTTTTGTTTTGTCTTGTTTTAGTTCTGGAAAAACTTGTTTGGCTCAAATAATTTCATCCAAGTAATTTTGTTTCTTCAAATTTTCCATCAATGAGAATGAGTCCCTAATTCTAAGGAACTATGTTTTATTACCTCTACAACTGAACTCTTTGTGTTTTTATATATTTATATGTGTTTCATATGTATGCATACATTTATGGCATACCTAGAGTGCATAAAATACCACTCTCCTATAACACTGTTTATTTATTTATTTTTGTATATTAGATTATTAGAGAGTTACTGAATATGGATAATGGAGGCAGGCTCCCTGTGTCCTTCTGGAAAATGATATAGTTTGGGGCTAGAGAACAAAGAAGAGGAATCTGTCTTGCAGGCTGGAGAAAAGTAAAAATAGAAACAACACAAGTTGAAAACTGGCCTGAGTTATAGTAGAGAATAGAGGGATCCCAATCATGTGGGTGAGCGGAACTGAAATCATGACTTCCCAGGGTTGTAAAACACTTAAAAGTCATCTAGTGTGGGGCTTCTGGGTGGCTCAGTTGTTTGAGCGTGGGACTCTTGATCTCGGCTTGGGTTGTGATCTTGGGGTCGTGGGATCAAGCCCCGGACCGGGCTCCGCACTCAGCGCACCGCACTCAGCGCAGAGTCTGCTTGTCCCTCTCCCTCTGTTCTTCCCTCCACTCTCTCTCTTTCTCTCTCAAGTATATAAATAATAAAATCTTCAAAACAAAAGTCATCCAGTGGAACTTTCTAGACAATAATAGTATATTCTATGTAACATTCTTCCCAAGTGTATATCCAACTCATGTTTGATGCCTTTAGCGGTAGGGGAGCTACTGCTTCTCAGGCAAATCCAAGTTTAGAGACCTCTTTCAAATGATGATTTCTTACATTGATCCAGAATATCTCTCTGTGGCCTCTATTCAGCAGTCTCCTTCTACTCCCTTGGGGGCTGTCCTTAGTCTAATTCCTCTTCCTCATGACATCACTTCCAATAACATTTTCAGTAGCAAGCCTTCCCTCAAGTCCCTCTCCCACGCTGCATCCTACAGCACCTCCCACCTGTACCTCACATGCCACAGTTTCTACTGCTAGTACAGGCACTCTCCTATAGATGAGATTCAGTCTGTCTTTTCATGGAAACAAACTAACGAGATTAGATGGACCCGGGGGACGGGAAGAGAAAAGCAAGACAAATGTCTGTGCAACAGATGCTGCCTGGTCAACACACCAGTGATAACAAGTGTGTTAACAGCATCCACCTTGGTTGTAGTAACTGGTTTCTGGGACACGGAAGAAGCCACAGCTGAGTGTGCTGTGCAGTTCCCATTTTAGCTACTGGTGAGGATCCTGAAGACCACTCCTGTCCACTGGAAAAGTAGTGAAATGAAACTAATCTAAGTCCTCTGAATTCTGCCTCTTTATCCTTGAAAGATAGAACTTGGAAACTTCTCATAGTCTCTGAAAGCCATGAGATGCACAAATTAATCGACTTTAAAAAAAAAATCGACTTATTCATATGTTTGGGGAAGATGCCAGGGTTTAAATTTGGGGCTCTGCCATCTACTAACTGTATGACCTTAAGTAAACTACGGGACTTCTGTGGCTCGATTTTCCAATTTAAAACTAAGGATAACCTATTTTATAGGGTTCATGAGGATTAAGAAAGCTAAATATTTAAAGCAGTGCCCAGCACAGAGTAAATCCTCAGTAAAAATTGTTATTTTTATCATGATTATTCTCACTCTGTCACAATGTAAATGTTATAAAATTTCTAATATTATCAAAATCTAAAAGGTTATTTTACAACTTTGCTTCCATACACTATTATAACACAAATGAAACAGTGCAGAGTCCCGAAACTAAGGAGTATATTATAAAAATAAACTGTAGGAGTGCTAAAGTCTAAAAGCATTATTTTTCAGTTCTGTAAGGACACGCCATTCAGAATTATGACAAGTATTTCAAAATTTTGCTCAAAAACTACAGATTTCAAATTTGTTGTTTGCAGCATACAGTTAATAATGTGCCATAATCATATAGTTACTGTATTTTGTTGTGAATGCTCAATTCCATAAGCATCTAATAAGGGCTGACCTATTTAGGGCACTATGGGGGATTCAAAGATAATTCAAAGACACCTTAATGGTGCCTGCATGAAGATGCTGACATACAACAGGTAGGGTTAACACCTGGGGGCACTGGATAAAGGACAAAAGAAAGCTATGGGAAGATAGAATATGGGATATTTGATTTGGGAGATTGGGAAGTTATCTCAGATGAAATGGCATTTGAAGTGGACTCTAAAGGATTGGTTAGGATTTGGGTAGGTATTTACTGGACACATGCCATCCTAGTCACTATTTTAGAGACTAGCACTGTTCCAGGTACCGATGGGATGAAAACTGGGGTTTATGAAAATTTCTCTGGCAGTAGCATGTAGAATAGACTAGAAGAGAGTGTGCAAATAGAGTCTGGTAGACTTTTCTAAGAGGCAGGGAGGGAGTAAGTCAGATGAATAGAAGTAAAGATTGAAGGAAGGGAATGCAGGTAGACCAAGGAAGAGAAATCCACAGGTTAAAAAGAAGGAAGAATTGAAGATGACAGTAAATATTGCAGACCCATGGTGATGCCGTTAAAGATAATGAGAAAGATGAAGAAAGAGCACATGGGAGAAATAAACCCATGAGTTTAAGTTTGCTTTGATAGAGACACATCCATGACAATTATAAGGAGCCTGTAGCAGAAAATGCAAATCCGGGGCTTAACAATGATACAGGCTTTGTAATTATTGCATATAGATAAAACTAAAACTGTGGATGGTAATGAATTAGTGAAAGCAGAGAAAATACAAAATAAAAGTTCGGATCTTAGTGAATGCTCTTATTTTGGGAGAAAGAGAAAGGAGAAGTAAAGTAGAGAAATGGTCAGAATTTGAGGGAACAGTATTAGAAAAGTTAAGGGAAGAGTAGTATCATGTACTCTAGGCAAAGCAAGAGGAATGTGATCTACAAGGAAGGTGGCATTGGTGTCCCTTTGGGGAGAACTCTAGTGTGGTTGAAGCAGAAGCTGGAATGTGAAGGACTGAGCAGTTGCAGGAGAAGATGTAATGGTAAATTTAAAATGTTCTAAATGTGTACATTTAAATGTGTAAATTTAAAATTGTTTTTCATTCTTTGCCAAAATTTTCCTTCTACCTAATTTCCCTTAAAAGCAATACATTAACTTTTTTATTATGTTAATCACCATACATTACATCATTAGTTTTTGATGTAGTGTTCCATGATTCATTATTTGCATATAACACCCAGTGCTCCATACAGTACGTACCCTCTTTAATACCCATCACCAGGCTAACCCATCCCCCCAACCCCCTCCCCTCTAGAACCCTCAGTTTGTTTCTTAGAGTCCATAGTCTTTTGTTTCTGTGTAAAATGCTTTCATTTCTGAAGGAAAAGTTATTTTAGTGTTCTCCTGGGAAAATGTTTATTTCTTAATCCTGTAATACATTTGGTCAGAACTCTGATTCTTCTTTTGCCAAGCAGAGAATAAAGTCACTTACATGACAAAAGTATGGAAAAATAATTTTTGCTTGCTATTTGATTTATTTTAAAAGACATCATTTTAAATGTCTTTTTAAAGATCAGTAAGAATGAACTTACTTGTTTCTGTTGGAATATAAGGAAAAGCCCAGCAATTACAGATCCAGTATCTTTCTTACAAGGTTTATGTTCAGTAAATGGAAGTTTTCTTCTAAGATTTTAAGATTAAACATCTGGATATAACTCCTAGATACTAAGTCATAGAAAGAAACAATGAGAAGATCAATCCCTTTGAGGAGTCAACAGGTTTGCTGTAGGGAAGGAATAAAAGTTGACTTGCAGCTTTAGGATTCTTCCTGCCCCCCGTTTCTTCCAGTCATAATATTGCGATTCGGAGGGAATATATTACTGCAACTAATTCTAATGGATGTGTAGGGAATTAACTCTAAAGTGTAAATGTAGTTCACATGAATTCATTATGGGAGATTGAAAGAAGCCAGTGACCATTCAGAAACTTTGCAAAAGAGCACCAAAAGTTAGGAGTAGTGTACAGCCTTTTCAAAACCTTGATTCACGAAAGCATATTTCCTCCTTAAATCTT